TGATGTAATCAAAGCACGGATTACAGTGTCAAGCTGCGTCCTTGAGAACATTGACTTGGTCCTGGACAAGCAACGCAAGTAGAAAAAGCTTGTCTGAACAGTTGTGTTTGTATGCTTGAAAGGGCTTCATCAATCTTCACCCCCAGACTGGTCACCAACCCAGCCCCCATAAATGAAAGTTTGCATAAATTCCCAGGAGCCAGGCAACTATTCCCTGAGTATAAAGACAATCATTTCAGATGTAGCCTCGTTTAAACGGAGGAGGTTATCTGCTAACCAGGCTTTTACTTCCACTAAATAGTTTATGAGTGGCTGTAAACCTTCAGAGGAACATTTTGAGATGGAAAATAACTCTGTCAATCATTTGCTTACAAGTGAAACCTAATTTTATGCTTTCGAAGGAGCATTTCTAATGGTAATAAACATAATGAGAAGAGCAAGGGTCCAAGGATAGAACCCTGTGGAACCCCCTGAGGGGGGAACCCTGTCCGAGGAGCCACTCCCTACACTAACATCTCTTAGATACTCCTGTGCATCAGATAGGATCTAATGCATTCCAGTGCAGTTCCTGTAATCGGTCCAAAAGGATGTTGTGGTCCACCGTATCAAAAGCAGCTGACGAGTCAAGGAGAAGCAAAATCACAGAATCTCTCTCATCATTGGTGAATAAAATGTTATTAAGAACCAATAAAAAGCAGCAGGGGAGAGCCTGATAACACAGGGGGAGCCAATGGGGGGATTGTCACAGACCTCATACTTGCAATTTTGTTCAAGAAGAAGTGGAGAAAGTTATTGCAAAAGATGAAAGACATCACACTGGAACTTCCCCCACATTAAGTGCAGCATTGAGTTGTTTAAACAACTGACGTGGCTATCTGGGATATCTGTTCACAATATCCGAAAAAATATCTCAGTCTAGCATCCTGGACCAGTTTCTGATAGACGCGCTCAACATGTTACGATAAACATGCCTGCATGTTTATATGTTCTTTTATTTTTCAGACCCAGTTTCAAATTTTTCTAATGCCTGTTGATAACCTGTTATGTCTGATCTGTTATGTGCTTATCTGTATATTTTTGTTGTTGTACTTTTAAAAAATATTTATTATTATTTTATTTATTTATTGTTTATTTTTTATTTCATTGTATTTTTTTGGCATTTCCTTCCAAGACCTCTTGGCCAGGTCATGTTTGTAAATGAGAACATGTTCTCAAACATTTTACCTGGTAAAATAAAGGTTGAAAAAAAAATAACAATCAGCCCGTCCTTTTTCCATTTACATTCCAATTTTCAACAATGTTGTCTACACTCCCTTGTTTCCGCCGATAACCACTGCTCTGTTCTTGGCCTTGGCTTCTTTAGCATAAGAGGAGCAAGTTCATCCAGAATAACCCAGCAGGTCCCATTAAAGCCATTGATCTGAGCTTCAGTATGTAATGATTCCACAGATGAACCACACTCCCCTGCAATAAAATTGGATGCAAACTTAGCCACTGTTGCCATCTTAAAAAGGGCCAGTTACTGTATTATGTTGATCGTTATCCTGGGCAGGTCCTGCAATGATAGCCCAAATTTTTTTTTAACAGAGAACACAAACAGCACCGCAACACGGAAGTGAAACAACTGGCTAAAAATTTAGGAAGCATCAAAATGGAGTATCATAGAATTAACCCTGTTGCATGACTGAATAAAAAAGGTCTGTCACGATGAGAGAGGGAGGAGGTTAGGACCCAAGGTGCAGACACCAGATGACACGAGGCAGGAGCGGATGTAAAAAGTTAAATCCTTTATTTAGGATGATAACCAAAAATCCAAAAGGGCAGGAGGCCACAACCTAATAACTAAACTCAGACAAAAACAAAAAACAAAAGCTCACTTTCTGAGCAGAGTATACGGGGAACCTTGGGGGAACAGAAACACTGACGGTGGATCCGGAGTCTGGGGAGCCGAAGACTGGGGCACAAAAGGTGACGGGTGGGGACCAGTCCGGCGGTGGTCACTGCCGATGGTTGGTCGGGAGACTGAATGAACACTGAAGATTCTGGATGATGATGGAGGGATGAAGACTCTGGAGGATGATGGAGGGACGAAGACGCTGGAGGATGAAGGGACGCTGGAGGATGAGGGGACAAAGACGCTGGAGGATGAAGGGACGCTGGAGGATGAGGATGGGACTCTGGAGGATGAGGATGAGGATGGGATTCTGGAGACGGGGACTTGGCAGGCGACGACTCGACAGGAGACGCCGGACCTGGCGCTGACTCGACTGGAGACGCCGGACCTGGCGAAGACTCGACTGGAGACGCCGGGCCTGGCAAAGACCGACTAGAGACACCGGACCTGGGACTCTGAAGACGGGGACTCGGCAGGCGAAGACTCGGCAGGAGACGCCAGGCCTGGCGAAGACACGACTGGAGACGCCGGGCCTAGCGAAGACCGACTAGAGACGCCGGACCTGGCGAACACCAACTAGAGATGCTGGGCCTGGCGAAGACCGACTAGAGATGCCGGACCTGGCGCTGACTCGACTGGAGACGCCTGACCTGGCACTGACTCGACTGGAGACGCCGGACCTGGTGCTGACTCGACTGGAGACGCCGGACCTGGTGCTGACTTGACTGGAGACGCCAGACTTGGCGCTGACTCGACTGGAGATGCCGGGGGCAGAACCTCTTGGACAGGCTGGGCTGTTGGTGACGGCGGGTGGAGCTGCTGGTGACGGTTGCGTCATGATCGTCGTGTGGATGTTGAGTTGACGCTGTTGGGACTGGAGATTGCCGTAGCATCAACAGGACTGAAAGCGAGGTAGCCGGTTCTTATAGTCGGAACCGAGACCGAAGGATGATTGTGTCTTGGGGCAGATGGAGGAGACGTGGAGGAGGTGGCACAAGCAGCTGGTGGCGGTGAGTTGCGGCCAAAGGTGTCCAGTAGTTTCTGGGCGAAATCCCAAAAAGACACAGTTCTGATTGGGTGTATCTCAAAGTAGTCTTGTCACCCACTGCAGAGCACTGTCTCGCAAACAAAGCACCAGGAAGGAGACCTTGTTGAACTCAGAAGAAGCCCTGTCTATGCAATGTGCACAGTCCCGTATAAAATCCCAACAGGCGCCTGGGTCTCCGTGGTACTTGTACATGTACCGGGGTGTCGGGGAGCCTGGAGGTTCTGCTGGGTCCTGTGTTGGTCAGTCCATTCTGTCACGATGAGAGAGGGAGGAGGTTAGGACCCAAGGTGCAGACACCAGACGGCACGAGGCAGGAGCGGATGTAAAAAGTTCAATTCTTTATTTAGGATGATAACCAAAAATCCAAAAGGGCAGGAGGCCACAACCTAATAACTAAACTCAGACAAAAACAAAAAGCAAAAGCTCACTTTCTGAGCAGAGACCTGGAGACTTAGTCGGGATGGACAAAACAACGCTGACCTAAGACAATGGACCGACAAACACTGAGGGACAAAACAGGGTTTTTAAACACAGAGGGAAGCAATCACAAGAACAGGTGACAGGTGTGAGGTCTTGAGGGGAGACAGGTGCCATCAATAAACTAAATGAAGAAAGAACTAAGCAGAGGGGGAGATAAACCATAACCTATAAAACACTAAATAACTAAACCTAAAGACTGAGAGCAAAGATAAACAACTAATGACTAGAGGGGTGAGGAGGACTAATAAAGTGCGGAAGGAACACAAGGAGGCTAATGCTAACCGATAGGAACTACAGGGGAGTGACTAGGAGGAACTACAGTGGAGTGACTAGGAGGAACTACAGGGGAGTGACTAGGAGGAACTACAGGGGAGTGACTAGGAGGAAACATGAGGGAAGCCTATGAGAGCTGGGGAACACAAGGGGACACATGAGGGGAACGCAGAACATGACAAGGTCTTCCACCAAGTTCTGCGTTCTGCTCTGAAACAATACCTTTTTTTCAGTTTTCTTAAAAATCACATTTTTGGCATCTTCTCAGAATCCACTCTTTTTGGCATCCTAGCTCTTCCTGCATCACCTGCAGATGCAGATATTGCTCAAATCCCTGAAAAACCTGGTGTTAATTCAGATCAAACTGATTAATCGATACACAATTCGATCTATAGTAATAGATGATTCAGTTTAAACTTTAAACATGTCACCAACTTTTACTGGATTATTATTTCACATAGATTTTATTTGCTGAAATTAATTATATTTTAAATTGGGGATATTTGTGGGTTTTTGTATTGGAAAAAAGACAGAACAGATTCAATTTTTTTAAAAATGGGGCAGAAAGAACTTCCTAGTGTTACAAACCCCGACAGGTGTTGTGAAAAGTGAAGGATGGGGTAACATAAGGACTGGCGGAGGAGTTTAAAATGGCTTTATTTGTAACAAAAGGTATTAAAAACAAGCAAACAGATCTCTCTAAAAGGTTAACATTACACAGCAAATCATCAACTTTAAAACACCTGGTTAAAACTTATATTAAAAGCTTAACCGAGCAGAAGGTGTTTTAAAATCCCCAAAGTTGATAACTGTTCCCAAAACAATACACTGACTAAAACACCTGGTAAAACTTATTTTAAAAAGTTTTACCACACGAAGGTGTTTAAAACCAAGGTCAGTAAAATAGCACAAACAACGTTAACCTTAAAACCGAACACAAACATCAAAGGATCCCACTGGATCATCCCAAACTTATCTCCAAGAGTTAAAAACTACCACAGTTTCAAACTCAACCGAATCTAAACGAAAGGGGTTGAAATGAAACAACAACAACAACAACAACAACAACAACCAGGAGGACAGCAGAAGCCCTGCACTGCTGCCTCAGACTGCTGACGGCACAGCTTTTTTATGCAGGTGTTGGCTCATCAGGATAATTCCTCGCTGCTGTGCTCCTCAGCAGCCCGGGAGAGATGCGGAGTCGGGCTGATTCACCAGGGCTGGGTGATCCCGGCTTCTGCTCTTCACAAGGCTGGCAGCCATGACACTAGTTTGACTTCTTTCTTTTTGCTTTTCTCTCCTCAGACAGTCTACAGGAAAGTGAGAAGATCCCAGAACTCCTCACTCTCCACTTGGTTCATCTTCAGGGAGCTGTCATCAGTGGTGGAAAGGTCTTCTCCCATTTCTGTTCAGTTTAATCCTGTGACTGTGATTCTATAGGTTAAACACTTAAATGGAAAAAGCAAGGTTTCTTGTCATTTTCAGAAAAATGGCCTTCTCTCCATCAGTCCTCAGTCTGTGGAGGATCTGTTCTGTGTTCTGCGTGCGTGGTGTTGCCGGGTCTCCCCTGCACCGAAAAGCACCAAGGTCCCCCAGCTGTCTCTGCAGTGCTTTACGGCGATGATTCATCTCCTGCACTCCAGCAGTCCCGTGGAGAGGCAGGTGGATATGAAGACAGTACTAGAAAGCTACTTCCAGCTCCTCAACTGGAACCATCCTCACTGCAGCGAAGAGGACAGGCAGTGCTGGGAAGAGAGTCTGATCTCTCTCCAGAGCCAAATGCTCAGTAAGAACATGTCAATCAAAGAGAATAGTCTCTGTTCTATAATTAAGCTATTTCTTTTTGTTTACCTCGGAGTCATTATTTCTTCTTGATGTTGTCTTTAGCTGCTGTTCCTGAAATCCTGCGCTGCTCTGATAGACCGGCCCTGCAGGCTGTATTCCTCAACAACAACTGCTTTGAGCACATCCTCAGACTCATTCAGAACAGCAAGGTGTGTGTGCTGCCATCTCTTCACATGTGGCCTTTTGTCGATGAGCCCACCACCATCAGTCTGTCACCTTTACCCCCAAATTCCACTACCTCCGCTCCGGTCCGCCCCCGCCTTCCGCAGCCGCTCGCTTCCGAACTCAGTTTTTACTGGTACCCGCTCTACAACGGCTCCGCTCCGGTGCGGAGACCTGAAGTGGGCAAACAAGCATGCGCGGGATTTTCGAGATCTTGCGATACAGTCCGAGCAATAAACGCGGAAGTTAGTTCCAAACACCCGTTGTGTGGGAGAAGCATCGAAATGAACTGTTTAATCTGCCCATCATTTGTGTTGAGAGATCAGCAGTGTTTGGATCAACAAAGTGTGACTACTTTGATAGTGGAAACTGTATTTATGGCTTACTTTTGTGCATTTAAACTTCAGCCGCCATTGATAGTTGTTAAAAGTTGTTAAACCTGTGCATATGAAACAAAAAACGCCTTTTGTTTATCGATTTATTGTGAAAAACGGAAGTTGTGCTTGCTCCTTTTCCTGTTGGGTGATTGTGATTTCTGTCCATTTACTGCGGAGGTGCTCCGGCGTCCGGCAAAAATAGGATTGATTCTATTTTTGCCGGACGCCGGAACAGAGGGCGGCGCACGGCGCCGCACTGCCGGAGCACGGCCGCAGTAGTGGAATTGCTCTGATTGACTACAACGGGACCGATTTTGCTCCGGCGTTCGTGTCGGAGCGGAGCGGAGTGGAGGTAGTGGAATTTGGGGGTTATATTTCTGTCTTTGCCTTCGCTGCTTGCTTGTTGTTTGAAATATCACAATGTGGCTTAAAGAAACCGCTGCAGAGAATCAAACCCATCTCTGCAGCACCTCTTTCTATTGTTTTGTTTAGCAGTCTGACTTTGAATGTGTGTGTGTGTGTGTGTGTGTGTGTGTGTGTGTGTGTGTGTGTGTGTGTGTGTGTGTGTGTGTGTGTGTGTGTGTGTGTGTGTGTGTGTGTGTGTGTGTGTGTGCTTCGCTCAATATCCTGAAGCTCTTTCAGAGCAACAGGAGCAGACCGGAGTGTGAGGTCACCACACATTTACTCGCTGATCGACCCGCTGACCAGGTACCCCCACCAACACCTGGTGTTATTAGCCCGTCAGCAGGAAACTCGGTCCTCCCTTTTCTTTTTAAGAGCTTTTTAAATGGGAGACAGTGGGCAGGAAGTCTCACTTACATTCATTTTTAAATAAAATAAGTTGTCACCTTTTTTACCTGCCCCAGTCAGACACCCACTTGCTGTAAGTTATCTGGGGCAAGTGGTGTGTTCCAGTTGAACGTGTACATCACAGGAATCACAGGCTGAGTTACCTGCTGGCAACACCAGGCACAAAATGCACGTGTTCATCTCTATGCATGAAAAGTGTTTTTATTATTGACTATCTACTGGCTGCTAAGTCATGTGACTGGTGGTGCTTTTGTAAAGTCCTGGCTCATAGCTCGGAGTTTGATGCTGCTGACTCATTTCTAACATGAGTTTGGGATTGCCTCATTTCTTTTCATTTATAATGGTTGGCTTTGGTGTTTTCATGCTGGGACCTAGGACTGAACGATCTATTGCTTTTGGACCGAAATTGTGATTTCAAACAACGCGATCACGTGAGGGTCACAGCAGCATTTAGTTGTAGCCCTCCTGACTGACCCATGCTCTTTTGTCAACTGTTTTAGACATTTAGGGTCTCTCCCTCTCCAGAGAGCGCTCTCAGGGAGCAGGTACTAGAACCGAGTCCACTGGACGGAGCGACACATTGTTTTCCTCTCACATAGCTCTGCGACCACAGCTGATGTTAAACATGACCATCTGTTGTTGCAGCAAACGCTGTGTTTGTCTCTCAGCACCGTGGCTGAGTGGCAGAGAGAGAAGCTAATTCTCCAACAGAAGAATAAGATTTATCATAATAACACTCAGCAGACTGAAAGCACAACTTCTCTTCTTTTAAAAAACACTGTTTGAAAAAATTACCAACATTTTTTAATATTTTCCAACAAAAAACACGTCCTCTGTTTCTCTTGCTGTGTTTGCCCCTCTCCCCTCCCTCTCCTGTTAATCAAACCCACACCTTTGCTCACCGATGTCAGTGTTCCGGTCAGTTCTGTTGTTGAAATGTGTTTTCCCAACCGCTCCGCTCAAGCTCCAAAAATGCTTACGCTCAATAAAGGTTCGCTCCCACTTTGCTCACACAACCGAACTGCAGCCTGCAGGAGTTCAAACATCTTGTTTGTGCAAATCAACACTTACTGGAGCCAAGTCCGTTGTTAGTCACGCACCATCCCTGCTTAAGGCACAAACATCCACATATAAAAATGATGGACATAGCCTTCCCATTGCTCCATGGGGGGGGGCAGGTTGAGGCCAAAAATGGGAGGTTCCCACCACTGATGTTTTGATTATGTCACACATCTTGTCACGCCCAGACAATCCAAAAATGAGAAAAGAGGTGGAGCTGAGGGTGGGGCTGTTACCTTTGGAACAGAGTAGGAACAAATGAACCATTGTAACTACTAGCTAACTTAGCTAACCCAAGCTAAGCCCAAAAAGCACTCAAAAGTGAAGCAACGTCAACTAAAAGAGCTACGGTGTTTCTGCGGTCTCCCTCAGAAGTCCACAAGTACCCAGCATGATTACGGCCTCGCATCGAAGCCGATCAAAGCGTCCCGGCTGCCGCGGGAAACAGGAACAGCCAGCCGCCTGCTTAAACAACTGTTCGCAGGCAGGAGACAGCAGAAGCATGGCACCTGCTCAAGTTTTTTATCCAGCCAGCAGCCCCACTAACGTCTTTGACCAAGCAGTTAAGTGACACAGCATTTCCTCCCATTCAACCAGCTAAAGAAAGTACAGAAATACAATTTTACTTCCTGATAAAAAAAAGAAGAAACTGCTTGGAGCAAGCTGTGGTTAGTGCGGTCAGCAGTGCCCTCTTCGTCCAAATAATCAAACACACAGAGGACACAACTAAAGTTCAGAGAGACGAAATGGCCGAATATCTATTAAGGTGAGGCCCAGGCGGAGGCTCCCAGTGCTAGCGTCGGCTCTGACGCGGCTCTGATGCTCATTAATTATTCAGATTTTGAAGCTTTCAATCACATTTAAACAGAAGATTTACAAAAAACTCACCCTCTCAGAGTTGCCATGACTGTAAACTGGACCTATTAAACCTAAAATGTTTATTTAGAACCAGGCTGTAAACATGTTTGTTTCTGCTGTGAAATTAGCATTTGTAACATGCATGGATGTAGTTTTGACTTTAAAAGTGGGGGACACAACTGGCGATGTGTGTGCGTGTGTGTGTGTGTGTGTGTGTGTGTGTGTGTGTGTGTGGGGGGGGGGGGGGGGGTCTTTTCAGTATGTTCTAAAGGGGAACGGGCGTTGACACGAATGCTTGTTTTCCGCTTGACCCTTGTGCTCAACCAGTGACGCAGATAGGATTTACAAACTGGGGGGACAAAGTTCCAGTGTACCCTCCCCCAAACACACACACACACATACGAACACATGTACACATACACAAACAACTGCAAGAGCCTTAACTAGAGCTCAGTCAGTTTGTGTAATTTCATCCTATGGTTTACGTAAAAACTAACACTATCATATACGTGTTTGAAGCCCTTGTGCAGTGGAACGCTGGCAGCAAAGCTCTGCCTGACCAACACTATCCAAGTCAGTCATTTGTTATTCTCCCAGTCCATTACTAACCACAACCTCATGCTTTATGTAAAATATGTTTTATTTAAACATTAACTGATTTTCAGCATACCAATCTTTTAGGGCTGGGCAATAAATCGAAAATGTATCATTATCGAAATTTCTGACTCTTATATATCCCTATGTAAAAAAACTGCACATAGAATATAATAAAAAACGATATTCACTTATCACTAGCAGTGGTTCCCAAACTTTTCAGCCTCTGACCAACAGATGTTCCTTCTTATTTTTTACGTTACGTAGAATTTTTCATTATATTTGGAAAGTGTTAATTTATATATAAATATATAAAATAAAGCTCTTTTTAAATTTAATATTTAACTTTTATTTTCATGATTATGTGACACACTTGACTTCCATATTTAACGCATGGGCATCTGCCTCTTTTTACAGCTTTTTTTTTTTTACATTGTCGCTACGTCTGTCACGTTAGCGGTGTTTTACCATCATTTCTACATCCATCACGTCCCAGAGAAGGTTAAACCAACATCAAACCCAACGTTTGGAGCTCGTAAACTCCACACACCTCTCGTGCAGCACCAGCTGTCGGATGCTGCAGCAGCGTCCATCTTCCCGGCTGGATGAGTGAATTTCTTCATCAGAGTCAATATTCTGCTTCATAATCAGAGTCAGTCATGACCAGACAAAGTGATCAGTCAACAAAGACCAGACCTGCCGGCAATTGTACGTTTCATCCCGATAACATTTGCGCTCTTCATGTTGCGTGCATCTCCTTCTCTCCCCGACTGGGAGCCTCTCTGCGGGAGGCGTTTTTCAAATTCTAAAAACTCCAAAACTTTGCTCAGCCTGAAGGTTCCACATCTCCACTATCTTCTGGTGTAAATGAGGGATCGTATTTGTGGATGTGACTTGTTAAAGTCAGCAAGAACGCTTGTCGTAATATTGCGATTTTGGCGCTTATAACAAGTAAGTCCCAACACTGACAACAACGTACAGAAACTACAACCAACATGCATAAACAGACAGATCGGTCCCGCCTGCTTACACTGTTGGTCTTTTTTAATAACGCAGTAATTAGGGCTGCACGATATTAGGAAAACCTGCGATATTCAATAACAGTGCTTAATATTGCGATATCGATATTACTCACGATAAATGAACAAATACTAAAGTATGCAGTGTTGATGTCGTCTGGCGTGTGACGTCTGCTCTGGGTTCAAAGCAAACAAAAACTAATGCATGAATTCCATTACAACATAACATTTTTATTGAAAAATATGCAGCTGCACCTGCTACTGTATTAGCAGCTGCACCCGCTACTGTATTAGCAGCTGCACCCGCTACTGTATTAGCAGCTGCACCCGCTACTGTATTAGCAGCTGCTACTGTATTAGCAGCTGCACCCGCTACTGTATTAGCAGCTGCACCTGCTACTGTATTAGCAGCTGCACCCGCTACTGTATTAGCAGCTGCACCTGCTACTGTATTAGCAGCTGCTACTGTATTAGCAGCTGCACCCACTACTGTATTAGCAGCTGCACCTGCTACTGTATTAGCAGCTGCACCCGCTACTGTATTAGCAGCTGCACCCGCTACTGTATTAGCAGCTGCTACTGTATTAGCAGCTGCACCCGCTACTGTATTAGCAGCTGCACCTGCTACTGTATTAGCAGCTGCACCCGCTACTGTATTAGCAGCTGCACCCGCTACTGTATTAGCAGCTGCACCTGCTACTGTATTAGCAGCTGCACCCGCTACTGTATTAGCAGCTGCACCCGCTACTGTATTAGCAGCTGCTACTGTATTAGCAGCTGCACCCGCCACTGTATTAGCAGCTGCACCTGCTACTGTATTAGCAGCTGCACCCGCTACTGTATTAGCAGCTGCACCTGCTACTGTATTAGCAGCTGCACCCGCTACTGTATTAGCAGCTTCACCTGCTACTGTATTACCAGCTGCACCCGCTACTGTATTAGCACCCGCTACTGTATTAGCAGCTGCACCCGCTACTGTATTAGCAGCTGCACCCGCTACTGTATTAGCAGCTGCACCTGCTACTGTATTAGCAGCTGCACCTGCTACTGTATTAGCACCCGCTACTGTATTAGCACCCGCTACTGTATTAGCAGCTGCACCTGCTACTGTATTAGCAGCTGCACCTGCTACTGTATTAGCAGCTGCACCCGCTACTGTATTAGCAGCTGCACCCGCTACTGTATTAGCAGCTGCACCTGCTACTGTATTAGCAGCTGCACCTGCTACTGTATTAGCAGCTGCACCCGCTACTGTATTAGCAGCAAAACAACAAACTGCATGCATGCAGTTTCTCAGTGACTTATGGACTCAGCTTTGCGGGCAGAGAGGACTTAGCAGTACCGGCTCAAATACTCCAGCTGCGTCATCCACGCGGCCGCTGTAACATTCACAAAATCGCTCCACTAAAACAAAATAATTCACCTGCGATCGTTCATATCAGCGCATGTTCTCTGGTATTTTGTACTTTTCTGACGTGCTTTGCCTCATCTGAGTTAATCTGGGCCCCGGTGATTTTAACTCATTGCTGCTGGAGCGCTGCACATGTGAAGATCCCTCTGGCTGATAGTTAGAAAGTAGGAAGTCTAGGAAACAGTTTTTTCTGGAAGACGGAGAAAACATGCAGCATGCAGGGAGGTTAGAGAGAGAAAGGGCCAGAAATTATTCAAATAAAATCAAGAAAACAAAACAAACTGCTTGAAAAGACAAAAAGTAGGTAGATTTATACCCAATACTCATTTTTACCAGTGAAAAGCAATAATATATAAGCATTCAATATTTATACATGTGATAGAATCAGATCACCCCAGAAGCCAGTCCCACATCCAGGGCTGTATCAAGGCATTTGGGGACCAAGGCTAAATAGGCTTGGAGCCCCCACCACCTCACTCCCTGCTCATTTAATATAAGATGGCAGCGTGCTGAGAGTACAGTTTGTTGTTTCATTTATTACATAAACGATCCTTCTAAAGATCTGTTTTTAACAGCAATCCTAGCTCAGACACCACATCACCTTCCACCGGATGTGTCATGAGTTCACCAGGCATCAGATTACCAAACTCATACTGAAGTTGTTTTGTTGAAAGTAACTTAGAGTAATGCAAAAGTAGTGTAATGCCTTACATTTTAAAATCAGTAATATTGTAATGTAATGAATTACTTTAAAATGAGGGTAACAAGTAATAAATAATGTATTACAGTTTTGAAGTAACTTGCCCAACACTGATGACGAACAAGGGAACAGCGCCGCTAACTCTGTTCGGGTGTTGCTTTCCAAAAGGGTCTACGTAGGGGGCGGGCTTATTACGTGAACGGACCCATCTGATTGGCTGCATATCAGAAGGGCTACATTTGATTGGTCAAATAATACTTCTGTGTAAAAAACAGAGCTGGTTTACAAAAAGTTGATGTATGACACGGATGGAAATGTTTGAACCAAACATTTATCGCCGTTTTTGACGTGCTTTGCGATGGGCCTATCGCACGTCTTGTTATCGCGATGACAATAATTTTTTGATATATTGTGCAGCTCTAGCAGCAATTGTTCCTTGTCTTTTTTGCTTCATCCTGCTTCCTAGCAGCAACCACTTTGGCGCCTCTGAAATCTGTGTTTGTTTACGTCATGCTGCATTCAATGTAACTGGGAAAATGAGCTTTAGGCTCTTAACCTCCGATTTTGTTTACTTTCTTGCCTTATAAGTGTATGTGTTGGGGGGGGGATCGGAGTCAATCTGAATCTAGGGGGGACAGAATCAAGAACAGGAGATTAAATTATTATAAAAAGCATAAAAAACGTATACCAGACAAAGCTAATGTTTGATCCTTTTTTAAGTGTCAGAGTTAGAAAGAGCAATTGCAACAAACATTTCCACTCCCCGAGCATCTTTCCTCTGCTCTAATTGTTAATGTAATTATTATTTATAAATTTACAGTACTTAGACTCTTCAAACCTGGACTAAGTTATGCCCGGATCACACTACGATTTTTGGCTGTCACATTGTGAGAACTCCAGAAAGGTGTCACACTGGAGGGTGCAAGATTTCGGTAGACTACACGACGTCTCTCTCCTGCAGGGCACTCAGTGTCCTGATCGCATCTACTGGCAATCGTCACTAAGCAGACCGCTAACCAAGACAAAACTGGAAAAATAAAAGCACTTATTTTTAATATCAGTTCATGACCCAGCTCATCTTCCTAAAAGAGGAAGCTTCGTTCTTAAAACCCGTGCTTTGGCGACAGCTTTTTGAGCTCACACTCGCTGCCACGGAGCTTCCTCTGTCCCTCAGCAGCAAAACGCTACTGAACCATCCTTTTCTATTGAATATGTGAAATGTCCACCAACAGCAAAGGGATCTCATGTTTTTGTGTTTTATTTTTATGTTTGTGAGCTCATCTCCCCTGACTCACAGATCACAGAATCACGATTTATCTGATGGTCTAAAGAAGTTAGTTTAATTCTTTTAAGTATAACTCTGGTTTAACTTGGGCTAATAACAGAATTAAAAACTGGTGTGTAGGTTATAACCCACATTTTAAACATACATTAAAACCGAAGCTCAGAGAGTGTTTCCATTGGTTGACCCTGTTCACCCTGACATTGATCATTTTTTGTCACGATTCTGCTCAGAACAAGCGATTTGGCAAAGACGGCTAAACATTGCTCTGTGTGATTTGGGTTTTATTCTGCACTAATAACAACTTAGCACCTCAGGTTGCAGTAGCTCAGGAGGGAGTCTGTCTGTCCATTAATCAGATTATTCTGTATCGAATCTACCTCTTTAGATAAAAATAACAAGTTGCTTCACAAGAACATTATCCATCCATCCATCCGGCCGCTTGTCCAGGGTTGGGTCGCGGGAGCATTAGCCTAAGCAGGGAAGCTTCGGCCAGCTTCTCTAGGGGAATCCTAAGGCGTGCCCTGGCCAGTGGTGAGAAAGTCTCTCCAGCGTGTCCTGGGTCTTCCTTTAGGCCTTCTCCCGTTTTACCTCACCAGCGTGGCATCCAGGAGGCATCCTAACTAGATGCCGAGCCACCTCAACTGGCTCCTCTCGATGTGGAGGAGGAGCTGGTCTACTCCGAGCCTCTCCTGGATCACCAGGCTTCTCACCCTATCTCTAAGGCAGAGCCCAGACACCCAGTGGAGAAAACTCATTTTGACCGCTTGTATCCGCAATCTCATTCTTTCGGTCACTACCCAAAGCTTGTGACCATAGGTGAGGGTTGTAATGTAGATTGATCTTGCACTCCATCTTTCCCTCACTGGTGAACAAGACCAAGATTAAACTCCTCAACTTGGGCAGGACCTCATCCCTGACTCAGAATAGACATTCTACCCTTTTCCGTCTCAAGACCATGGTCTCGGATTTAGAGGAGCTGATTCTTATCCTAGCTGCTTCACACTCGGCTGCGAACTTCTTCAGTGAGAGCCAGAGATCACGTTCTGATGAAGGCAACAGGACCACAGCATCTGCAAAAAGTAGAGACTGAATCTTTAGGCCACCAAAATGGATCCCCTCAACACTTAGGCTGCGCCTAGAAATGTTGTCCATAAAATTTATGAACAAAATTGGTGACAAAGGGCAGCCTTGGAGGAGTCCAACTCTCACTGGAAACAAGCCCAACGTACTGACAGCAATGCGGACCAAGCTCTGACACCGGTCATACAGGGATTTAACAGTATCAGAGGCCCTGGTACCCCATACTCCTGACTTACCCCCACAGGGCACCCCGAGGGATGTGGTCAAATGCCTTCTCCAAATCCACAAAACACATTTACATTGGTTGGGCAAACTCCCACGCACTCCCACAACACTCCTTAGGGTATAGAGCTGGTCCAGTGTTCCGCGGCCAGGGCCAAAACCACATTGCTCCTACTGAATCCGAGTTTAGACAAGAACATTAAAGATACATTAAACAAGATAACAACGGGAGGAAATTAATAGCTTTTGATGTTTTTATCGTGTGATTTATATGAATATTTCTGAATAATTGTTGAACCCTGATTTGAAGAAAATTGTGAATCGACCGAAACTGTAATTTTTCCTTGAAAAATTGTAATTCAATCTTTTCCTAAAATCGTTCAGTCCTTCTAGGACCTATATGTGATTAACAAAGAGGTGATGGTTTATTGGCTGGTACAGCAGTATTGGTGGATTTACTTACATATTGTTATGATTATTTTTTGGTGAGTATCTTACTTTGAATTTAGTGATGATTTTCAACTTCTCGTAATGTTATGATGGTGCACATTTTAGTCAAGCAGTGTTGTTGTGAACTGCCCTTTATCTTTGTAGGTGATGGAGAAGGGATCGGACACCATCACTGTTCACGCCTTGGGGGTACTCACAGCTATAATGAGTAACTCACCTTCTGCAAAGGTAAAGCTCTTCATTTATCTGGATGTCAAACATACCTTTCATACCTTTATAAACATACATTAAAAGGAGTGAGTTGGATCAACCAGCTACAGCAGCTCTTGCTTTTCTACTCCTCTTTTTATTCTTTGCTTGCCTAGTGTTGCATGTTATTAATGCCCTTAATGTGGGCATGTGTTGTTCTGTCAACCGCAAAATCTACAGGAGTACTTTTGTGTTATTTGTGTTCATTTTTTTTTACTGTTTTTGGACTTTCTGGGAACGCCCTGGGAAATTCCCTCAGCTCCATAAATGGATCTATTGCCTACATTAGGGATCAGCTGCTGGTGCTTCAGAGACTGGCTCTCTTCTCCACAGAAAAGCCAGTTCTGTCCTCAGAATTACAGGGAAAACGAAGAGGCTGCAGAGTTGGATCTAAGCTCCAGGGGCCTCGTTTATCAACCATTCTTAAGCACAGATCTGTGCTTATATCGTACGTAGAAACTAATTTATGCATTGTGTGGTATTCATCATTTTGTACCTGTGCGCAAAATTTTTCCTAAATATAAGAAAACTTCAGACCATGCGTGGGAACAGCGTATTGTGGTAGAACGGGGGAACCACAACACTGCAGGTCTCAGTCGTACACACGTTCCTCATCCACAAATTATTTTACCCAATATATGATTTTTTGGTGGAAAAATAGCTGTGTCACATAATTGGTGCTAAAACACCATTTACAAGAACCCACAGAACCTTCTCTGCTTCCCTATCACACATGCGTTGTCAAGGTAAGCAGATTGAATGACCGCTCAGAAGAGGCTGCACTCTCAAACAACATTTCCAAATAAAACTAACTCCAACCATGACTCAAAATGTAAATGACAACCCATTACTCAATGATTTATAAAATTAAAGATGTAATTTATTCATGACCAGAACCTCTCCTCTGTCCCGATTGCATTTATAAGCTTTGCAACTTGTTTGATTCTTATGCACTTGATCTTGCAACACAGTTTTTTGGAATCCCTTCATGTGCTGAGGACGTAGCGTGACCAAATATGGACAGTTGAGGGCAATTCTTTATGTAAATGACTGAGAACACACACGAGCACCTGGGTAAGGACAGGTGGGATTTATCATCAGACAAGTGCGGAGGAACGTGTGTACGAGAAGCCATTGCATGTTACATAAATCAGGATTTTGACCGTTTGTATGAAGATTCAAAATTTCGTTCATAAGAAGGAATACAGGAATATTTCTACGAATGTTCGATGAACAAGGCCCCAGGAGAGGAAACAGCAATATAAACCATATCTATCCTCCGTGATTATGGGAAATGTCTGTTCTCTCTGCTGTAAGATTGACGAGCTCACAGCTCTGATCAAGCTACAGCAGGACTACAGAAAATGTAGCCTGTTATTTTTTCCAGAGACATGGACGAATGAGCTCATGGCTGACTCAGGTTTCTCTGGAAGGATTTAAACTAACGCAGGCCAACAGGAAGAATCTGGCTATGTTTATTAATTAGAGATGGTGCAACCAGGGACACGTTACTGTTAAACATAAACTCTGAACAAAAGACATTGAGCTACTGGCTGTTTGTCTCTGCCCTTAATACATCCTGAGATAGTTTTCACATTTTATAGCATTGAATGTGTGTATCCCTCCTACCCTGGCCTGCCAGACGCCTCCTCTGTTTAATTCTGCACAGAGAAAGGGTCTGGGAACTCTTCTATTCAAATAACCCCACCCCCTGAGAATTCTAACCGAGCCAATCAGCAAAGAGTGGCGTACGTCACACACCCGTCGAGTTTGTCGAACATGGCGACTGAACCAGAATTCGCTGTGGCTCTTTCCTTTGTTCTGAATGACTTGGGCACGTCTTAAAACCACAACAAGTAGTGTCACGAGTTGGTTCAGGAGGAAGTTAGGACCCAAGATGCAGAGAACCAGACGAACAAGGCAGAGGTGGAAGATGAAATAAAGTCCTTTATTTAGGGATAATCCAAATGGCAGGGAGCCAAAAACCAAAAATCCAAATGACTGAATCAGAGATCCAAAAACATTAGAAGCTAGAGACACTAGAAGCACTGGAAACACTGGAGAGCAAACGAGACGTGTCTGACAGGAACAATTGACGGACAAACACATAGAGACACAGACAGGGTTATATACACTGGGGAGGATGAGATGGGGATGAACTGCAGGTGTGTGGGTGTCAGAGTCCAAGCCCCCAGGCCGGGCTCTCCCAGCTGACTGGCTCCCGTCTTGGACCACATTACCCAGCATGCCCCTCGCGGGGATTCCCTCCACGTTCCACCTGCGTCAATCCATGAAGCAACTGCAGAGTTTTCTGGGTTTCTGCAACTTTTACCGTCGATTTATCAAAGACTTTAGCACCATTGTGGCGCCTCTCACCTCTCTCACCCGACCGAGCCCTCCTGGTCAACCGTTCCGGCTCACCCCAGATGCCGTTCGGGCCTTCCACTACCTAGTCGCTCGTTTCACATCGGCTCCTATCCTGCGCCATCCGGATCAGGCAGTCCCTTTTGTGGTCGAGGTTGACGCTTCGGATGTCGGCGCCGGCGCCATCCTGTCCCAAGGCGGCCCAGATGACAGGCTACATCCCTGCGCCTACTTCTCCAGGAAGTTTTCCACCACCCAGCAGAAGTACGGCGTAGGGGATCGCGAGCTGCTGGCCATAAAATGGGCGTTGGAGGAATGGAGGCAGTGGCTTCTGGGCACCACTCAGCCGTTCACCATCTGGACTGACCACCAGAACCTAACCCACATCCGGTCCGCCAAGCAGCTAAATCCTCGCCAGGCTCGCTGGGCCCTCTTCTTCGAACCCTACGATTTCCATCTCGCCTATCGCCCCGGGACTAAAAACCAGAAGGCGGACGCCCTCTACCGCCAGTTCACACATTCAGCGCCCACGTCCGAGCCAGCGCCCATCCTCCTGGAGCACCGTTTCGTGGCCCACCTTGGGTGGCCGTTGGAGGAGGCCATCCAAAACGCCCTCCGGGATGACCCAGCGCCGCCAGAGACCCCTGCCAGTCGGCTCTACGTCCCCGCGGCCTGTCGCAGTGAGGCGTTGGCCTGGGCCCACTCATCACGCCTGTCTGGTCACGTGGGCTTCTCTCATACTCTCAAGTTCTTGAAACGGGCTCTCTGGTGGCCACGTATGGAGAGGGACGTTAAGGAATTCACGAGCGCCTGTGACGTCTGCGCCCGCTCTAAGGCATCCACCCAGGCTCCGGTTGGCACTCTCAGACCTCTTCCGGTGCCCAGCCGCCCCTGGTCCCATGTGGGGCTGGACTTTGTCACAGGTCTCCCGCCGGTCAATGACCTCGACACCATCCTAACGGTCACTGACCGGTTTTCCAAAGCTGTTCACTTCATCGCCCTCCCGGGCCTTCCCTCAGCCCGACGCACTGCAGAACTGTTTCTGGAGAATGTGGTGCGTCTCCACGGGTTCCCGGTCGACGTGGTCTCAGATCGTGGTCCCCAGTTCACGGCCCGTTTCTGGAAAGCCTTCTGCCATCTAGTGGGAGCTTCTGTCAGCCTGTCTTCGGGCTACCACCCACAGACCAACGGTCAATCGGAGCGGGCGAACCAACAGTTGGGCCGGTACCTCCGCTGCTTTGTTTCGGCCCAGCCCTCGCAGTGGCCTAAGTACCTCCTCTGGGCGGAGCTGTCTCACATTCTCCACACCTCCTCGGCCACTCAGATGTCCCCTTTCGAGGTCTGCTATGGCTACCAGCCCCCAGTCTTCGCCCACCAGGAACCCGAAGTCGCGGTGCCAGCCGCTCAATCCCTGGTGAGGCGCTGCAAGAACGCATGGATCAAGGCACGGGCCTCCATTACCCGGGCCAACGCCCGTTACTCACACCAACACCTCCGCAGGCACCGCCCGGGACCCTCCAATGCTCCAGGGGACAAGGTCTGGGTGTCCACGGCAGGCCTCCGGGTCCGCGCCGGTTCCAGGAAGCTCGCTCCCCGGTTCCTCGGGCCCTACCCCGTGCAGGAGGTCATCAACCCGGTCACGTACCGGCTGCGGCTGCCTACAAGCCTTCGCGTCCATCCTACCTTCCACACCTCCCGGCTCAAGCCTTACGTGGAATCCCCCCTCCTCCCGCCTCAGGCTCCAGCACCTCCGCCGGCCCGCTTCCTCGACGGTGAGCCCATCTACACAGTCCGGCGCATTCTGGACGCTCGCCGCCGGGGTCGGGGCTGGCAGTACCTCGTAGATTGGGCGGACTACGGCCCAGAGGAACGCTCCTGGGAGCCGGCCCGCTCCATCTTGGACCCTGCCCTTATCTCGGACTTCTGGGCCCACCGAGGTGGCCCGGGGACTTCTGAAGCCGTCCCTGGACCGGGGGGTCCTGTCAGAGTCCAAGCCCCCAGGCCGGGCTCTCCCAGCTGACCGGCTCCCGTCTTGGACCACATTACCCAGCATGCCCCTCGCGGGGATTCCCTCCACGTTCCACCTGCGTCAATCCATGTCTATATATGGAAGACGCTACACCGGCTCTTCACTCAGTCATCGTTCCACCGTGATCCATGATCAGAGTATTTCCAAAGCTACTACAGCTAAACCTCCACCTTTCCTCCTCAGACCTCATCCGTCAGCCTTTCCAGCACCGCTTTCAGCCAACCATCTGTACAATAAAAGCTCTTACTCCCGAACCCAGTCTTCGAGTCTGACAGTGGGGAGATAGAGAGCAGGTGAACTCAATTACTAATCAGGGAGGAAACTAACATGACCTAAGAATAAGGCCCTGTCCACATGTAGCCGGGGATCTGCCAAAACGTAGATATTTTTCTACGTTTTGGCCTGTCATCCACACGAAAACGGAGTTTTTTCACACGAAAACGGATCTTTTTAAAAACTCCGGCCAAAGTGAAGATCTGTGTTTTCTCCGTTTTGGGTGTCTGCATGTGGACAGACAAAACCGGAGTTTTAAGGTCCGCAACGTCACTTTCCGCGACAAAAAATTGCTGACATCACGTGTGTGACCTGTGTTTACACTAGCCGACAGCATGGATGCCCTCAGAGCTGCGCTCGCTTTATTAATTGTCCAAGCGCTTTTTGCTTGTTTGTTTTTGCAAGAGGAATTACTGCTCCTTGCGGAAGACCACAGACGAAGGACGAGGTTAAGAACGGGGGAAGTACTGCCGTCTACAGGTCTGGCATGTCCTTAACAACGTATTTATCCGGGTACGTGTGGACAGAGTTTCTTTTTAAAATGAGGTGGTGTGGATGCAAGTTTTTGGAGGGGCGGATATTCGTTTTAAAAAAACCAGGCTACGTGTGGACTAGGCCTAAAACCTAAAGACAAGAACAGGAAACATAACTGATAATCTAAGGGGGGAGAAAAACCACAAACACCGGTGGGAAAAACACACTAAAGAGACTAATAACATGAATAGCTGTAACTAAAGGAAAATAACCTAAAAGAAAAACCTAAAGACCAGAAGGGCAGCAAACATAACTAATATTCTAGCTGAAACTAAAGGAAAACACTACAGAAAGAAAAATTACAGGGGCGTGACTAAAAGGGGGCCAAGGGAGCACAGGACCTGGGAGGGGGATGCCTGAGGAGGGAAACCTAGAGGGCTGAAGATCTGGGGGCAAATGGGGAACACCAGGAGACACAAGAGGAAGACGCAAACAAGGACACATGAGGGCGCTAGGAGACAAAAGGAGAACCTAGAGAGGGATGGAGAACACAAGGAGAAACATGAGGGGAGACGCAGACTCAGACAAGTAGAAGCGCTAAAAGCCTTTCTTCTAAAGAAAAATGTGTGCGCTGTCGCCAGACGCCATTTTTGACTACAGCAAAAACCACACAGCATCACACACAGCGATGCTCAGTTTCTCATAAACAACGAAGACAGTGGTGCAGTTTCTGCGGCTCTTTCCTCTGTTCTAAAGGACTTGAATGTCTTTAAAACTAGAAGAAGAGCTAAAAGCATTTCTTCTAAAAAAATATAAAAGATGTTTGCACCTTTGCCAGATGTCTTTTTTTTAATATAGCTAAAAAACTACAGCGTCGCGCGGTACAGTCGGAATTTCCGTCTTTCTTCTGATTGGTTATTTCTGAGCTGCCTAGTCCCGCCCCTCAAGTGCCTCTCTGCCTGTGAGCTACCAGACTCTTTCTCTGTGCAGAATTAAACTGAGGACGAGTCTGGCAGGCCAGGCTACATCCTTCCCTTGGTCACAGAGGCAGCTGCATGCAAGCTACCTTCAAGTTCTGTGGAGAAGCTGCAGACGGCTCATCCAGATGCACTTCTGCTCATCAGCAGGGATTTTGATCACATATGTATTGTATTTATAAATTAAATATTTTAATATACAATACAATATATCAATTTTTGCACATTTTATACAGAAACTGCCTTCAAAATATCTGGACAGCCTTACAAATTGTTGCCATAAGACCATTTGTGCGTCACTAAACTTTCATGTTGACGTGCTCACAATGTTTCCTTCTAACTGAAGTGTGCCAGCTCAATTTCTCCCAGTGAGCAGTTTCCTTGAATTTTTTTTGTCTTTGGTGTTCCCAGGAGGTTTTTAAGGAGAGAATTGGTTACTCCCAACTGTTTGATGTGCTGAGAAGTCAAGGCCAACCCAGCAAGAGGCTGCTGCAGGAGCTGATGAACATGGTGAAGCTCATATCCCCCTTCAGCACCTCCCCTCCCCAACACACACACACACACACACACACACACACACACACACACACACACAGCTTAATACAGACCTGATTGTTTGAATGCTGAATAGGGAACCTATGTCACACCCATCTACTTCCAGATCATGGGTCCCCAGAAGAGCAAAAAAATTAATGCAAGTCAACGGGGCAAAAAACGCTATTTTCTAATTCCGCTTGTTATGTGCCATGGATTTCACATATAATGTCTGTGAATTTTAAAGATGCATTTTTATACCAAGAAAGCGCTTATTTTCAAATGGGTGGAAAAGTTTTTTAGGTTTTGTGTGAAAATAAGTCCAGGACTACAAATGCGCTTCACGAAAGAGATGTTATCGAAAGAGACACAGAGAAACACAGAGGGAAAATGGCTGTAAGTTCCAGCGAACTTCAAATCCTTTCTTCAGAAGAAAAGAACCACCATAAATCTGGCCGTTTGGCAAGTAGCAGCTATGCTAGGGGAGAAGAGATTATGTGGTAATGTCATATATGCGACGTACTGATGATGATTTGTAGTCATGCTAAGTATGAACTTTACAAGCTGATAAATCTCAAAGTACATGACAGGTGTGGTTGAAACACCCATCATTACTTTTCATTTAAATTGAAGTACAACATATGTGTGATCGAGGGCATAAGGCAAAGCGAATTAGGAAATAGCGTTTTTAGCCCCGTTGACTTGCATTCATTTTTTCATTCTTCTGGGGAGCCATGAGCCAACCAAAAGGGGAGGAGACTTAGGCTCCCTATAGGGATTCCGTTTCTCCTAAAAAATAGTAACTTTTCCTGCTTCTGAACTTTTTTGGGCCTTTAACTGCTATTCTTCAGCTATTTCAGCAGCTTTGGTATCAACACATTCAGCTCTCTCAAAGGATGACTGCAAGTTCTATTTCGTCTAGTCTTAGCCCTTAAGCTAGCTGCTATTGGAAGGATGATCTCAGCATCAGCCAATCATGAAGAGCTTAAATGTACGCCCACCAATGGTGGGCACCCCTGTGGGTATATAAGTGGAGCGACTCCACTGTTCACCTCTGTTATCTGTTCAAGCCAAGCTTAAGAGCTTCCTTTAAAGATCAATTATCCAAGAAGCATTCTACTCACCTACCATGTCCAGCGACGCCAGGACCTGCCCGGCCTGCCAGATGGGCTCCATCTCCAGCGGCAACCTGCACGCCAAGTGTGAGGTCTGTCTCGGGGCTCATCACGCTGGCCTGGCCTTGATTCCCCCAGGCCTCGTGCCCGTTTTGTGCTGCTCTGCCCGTGGCTGAAAATATCCGCCGGGTCAAGTACTTCACCCCTGCCGCCGCCGAGGAATTTCCGGTGGCTGACACGTACAGTTGTGGTCAGAAGTTTACATACACTTGTAAAAAATATAATATAATGGCTCTACTGAGTGTCCCGTTATTTCTAAAACTCTGATTTTTCTCTGATAGAGTGATTGGAACAGATACTTCTTTGTCACAAAAAACATTCATGAAGTTCGGTTCTTTAATGTCTTTATTATGGGTTAACAGAAAAAGTGATCACATTTGCTGGGTCACAAATATACATAGAGCAGTGCTAATATTTGGTTACATGTCCCTTAGCCATTTTCACTTCAATTAGGCGCTTTTGGTAGCCATCCACAAGCTTCTGGCAAGCTTCTGGTTGAATCTTTGACCACTCCTCTTGACAGAATTGGTGAAGTTCAGATAAATTTGATGGCTTTCTGATATGGACTTGTTTCTTCAGCACTGTCCACATGTTTTCAATGGGGTTTAAGTCAGGACTTTGGGAAGGCCATTCTAAAACCCTTATTCTAGCCTGATTTAGCCATTCCTTTACCACTTTTGATGTGTGTTTGGGGTCATTTTCCTGTTGGAACACCCAACTGCGCCCAAGACCCAACCTTCGTGCCAATGATTTTAGGTTATGTTGAAGAATGTGAAGGTAATCTTCCTCCTTCATTATCCCATTTACTCTCTGTAAAGCACCAGTTCCATTGGCAGCAAAACAGCCCCACAGCATAATATTCCCACCACCATGCTTGACTGTAGGCATGGTGTTCTTGGGGTTAAAGGCCTCACCTTTTCTCCTCCAAACATATTGCTGGGCATTGTGGCCAAAAAGCTCGATTTTTGTTTCGTCTGACCACAGAACTTTCCTCCAGAAGGTCTTATCTTTGTCCATGTGATCAGCAGCAAACTTCAGTCGAGCCTTAAGGTGCCGCTTTTGGAGCAAGGGCTTCCTTCTTGCACGGCAGCCTCTCAGTCCATGGAGATGCAAAACACGTTTGACTGTGGACAATGACACCTGTGTTCCAGCAGCTTCTAATTCTTGGCAGATCTGCTTTTTGGTGATTCTTGGTTCACTCTTACCCTCCTGACCAATTTTCTCTCAGCAGCAGGTGATAGCTTGCGTTTTCTTCCTGATCTTGGCAGTGATGAAACAGTGCCATGCACCTTATACTTACAAACAATTGTTTGCACTGTTGCTCTTGGAACCTGCAGCTGCTTTGAAATGTTCCCAAGTGACTTTCCTGACTTGTTCAAGTCAATAATTTGCTTTTTCAGATCCATGCTGAGCTCCTTTGACTTTCCCATTGTAGCGTTTGTGGGCGTTTGTATCCAATGAGCCCTATTTACCTGGCCTAAGAGAAGTCACCCGCTGTAGTCACTCATAATCACTCACAAGAAGTTAAGAGGCCATGCTATGAAGCTCAGTTCACTGACACGTTTCTAAGTCACCAAAATTGCTAGTTCATGTTGCTGTATGTATATTTGTGACCCAGCAAATGTGATCACTTTTCTCTGTTAACCCAGAATAAAGACATTAAAGAACCAAACTTCATGAATGTTTTTTGTGACAAAGAAGTTTCTGTTCCAGTCACTCTATCAGAGAAAAATCAGAGTTTTAGAAATAACGGGACACTCAGTAGAGCCATTATATTATATTTTTTACAAGTGTATGCAAACTTCTGACCACAACTGTACTCGCTGGACAAGGCCTTACAGTTCTTCAATGTCGGCCAGGAGCCGGCTGGCTTCAACCGACTGGACGATGTCATCGACAGTGAGGAGTACGTAGAGGCTGGCTGCTATAGCCCTTCTTCCCTCCTGGACAACACGGAGGTCGACGAGCCTCGCTCATCGGGTCCTTCTGCTCCAGTGACTTCTCGCTCCTCCCTGCAAGCAGTTAGAGCACTGCTCCAGGAGCTGCCTGCCATCATCTCCGCGGCTGTGGTCCGCAAGGGGCTAGCCGTGCCAGAACCGGCTCCACCTGAAGCAGATGAATTGGCAGGAATTTTCGGGGCAACACAGACGCGCTGTCCAGACCCCATCTGGCCGCGCTTCCCCGCTGCCATGAGCTGCTGGTCCGCCGCCTTCTCCGAACCTGCTAAGCTGAAGGCGCCAATTTCCACATATGCGGCCATTACCAAGGTCGAGGGCTTCTCCGACCAAGGCTGGTCATCCGTTCCTCCACTGGAGCCGGACTTGGCCTCGCTGTTTGGCACCAAGAACCACCTCACTGGCCCGCAAGCAGTTCCCGCTTCTAAGCATGACCAGCTGCTGACGCGGCTCACCGATCAAGCACACCAGTGTGCCTTCCAGACGGGCGCTGCAGGAAATAACATCGCCCTTCTTGCCTTTGGTGTTTCCAAAATGGTGGAAGAGCTTGACGCTCCTGACGAGTCAAAAACCATCATTACTAAAACTGCTGATGCCATTCTCAATCTGTGCGCTGCTGTACTCACCGGTTCTGCTCACATTGCTGCCTGGCAGACCCTTATCCAGCGGGCCTTGTGGCTCAAGGCCCTGCCCTCCATTCCTGAACACCTGCACAGGGAGATGCTGGAAGGCCCCATCACCTCTGACGTTCTGTTTGGTCCCCATCTTAGGAGCGTCATCGAGAGGGCTCAGAAGACAGCTGAACTGTCAGCCACGGTGGGAGACCTGGTCCCCCCTCGGTCAGCCTCTCACTCCGGCCGTTCCTCCAGAGGATGGAACGAACGGCGCGGAGACTTCAGGCACCCAGCTGCACCGCCCGCCCCACGTAGCCGGCCTCCCGCTTCGGCCCCACCTCAGCGGGACCAGAGTTGGCGGCCAACGGTTTCGAAAGAGCCAGCAGACACCATCTTGGCAGTCACAGTCGCAGGAACCTCGCCGAAAGCAACCACGAAAATGACTTGTTGGGGGGAATGTGTGTGCTTATGACTGTAATAACTCTGTGAATGATGTTGGCTTTGAAAAAAACCCCAAGAAACGTCACTTAGAGAGCACAATCCTACAGTCCTCTGCAGAATCCTCTGCCGAATACGCACACATGTTCCACACACCAAGCACTGCTACACATCTTCATGTTCCCGCAGTCAGTCATATTACACGGCCAGCTGTACGGGTGTGCTCCATTTGCGCACTGGCCCTAGCTTCCAGCCAGACCCAACACATTCCGCTTCATCCACAATGTTGGGTGGGAAGGGATGTCATGGCGCTGTGGCGACCACGCGCGGCGACACAGTGCGCGGCTCCATCCGCTGGCACTTTGTCGTCCCCGTGCACGGGCCTGGCTCCCACTCGTCCTTTAACTTTGGACTCCACGCTCTGCGGTGCGGATCAGCCTCTTCCAGCTGTTTCACACTCGCCCTTTCGAGCGCAGCCCTCCATGGGTCGCTCCCAGTTCTCTGGTTTGAGCGACGGCGGTAAGGGCGCAAACCCAGTCCTCAGACGTTGTTCACATGACCTCGAACACGTGCCCACTGTCGGAGCGCGCGCAAGAATGGCGCCGCCTTTGTCTCATGAGCAAATGGATATCGGAGACCATTCATTATGGTCACACACTCCATTTTCAGTCCGCTCCTTCTCCCTTCAAGTGGATCGTGGAGACGATGTTAACGTTACAGGAACAATCTCAGACCCTGGAGCTGGAGCTGCGGGAACTTCTGTCCATGGACGCCATTTCCCAAGTCCCTCGCGG